ACACAGGCTCAGGTTAAAAATATTAAGACAGAAACTGTTGGCAGGGGTGTCATCAGGGGGCCAAGCACAGAGCTGCCTTTCAGGAACTCTGAAGTGTGTGAGAGACTGTTTTAATGTCTAGCCCTGCTTCTCCCAGGACCCAGAAGGGTATAAGAGGAAGCCAGGGAGGGTTCCTGTCCTCAGGAGTTTTCTGCTCTGCCAAGACTCCTTAGCATTTGCTGAGGGAAAGGTCAAGGTGAATGAATGAATAGTCCAAGTTATTTAGTATCTCAGAAGGTAACATGACCTGCCTTTTTTGTGAAGAAAAAAAAAAAAAGTGTGTGGAAACCCAGGGCCTAGCTCTTGGCTCCCAGGACCTTTTTACAGAGTGAATGAAAATGAAAGAACAAAGCCCATGGGACTGAAGAATCATATCAAGTGACATCCCTCTAAAACCAGAAAAACTAGCCTGGGCCTGCCAGACAACACTGGGGTCAGGGTCACTGCCAAGGAGAGGTGGCTGCTTTATAGGGGTCAAGGGAGGGCCGTTGGGAATGATGGTCATCACATACTCTTCACATAACTCGTATAAAGACATTGACCCCAAGAAGCTCCCTAACAATGACTGTGTAACCTGGGAGAGTAGCCAGAGAAACTAGGGAGGAGCTTAAAGGAAAGACCTCAAGTAGCGGCAGTGGACCAGGGTGGGAGGCCTACCTGGACCCCTGGTTGGAACTCCCCCAGGAGCTGGGGGAGACAGAGAGGGGCATATGGAGGGAAGTGAAGGGTAGAGCTGACAGGCAGGAGGGAGCCCCGAACAGGGCCATCACCAAACTGGGGATGTTTCTGAAGGCTGGCCATACGCACAGTCCTCATTTTGAGAACTGGCAGGCTGTTTGGAGAGCCTGGGGAGAGCAGGGAAACTAGCTCTTCAGGAAGCAGCTTTTCAGATTTCAGAACAGAGAGAATGAGTCGGGGTGATCTTAAGGGGCAAACTATCCAGGATAGTCAGGAAGTTCTTAGAAATAAAAGAAACTAGTCCCCTAAGGAAAAGAAGGCAGTGACCAGAAGCTGATACAGTTACCAGGGAAGCCCTCTGTAGAAGGAAATGGGAAAGCAGTTAAATGGAAAGGAGGACATACAACCAAAGATGAAGCAAGAATATGGTCCAGAAGTCACCGAGTGACCTGAAGCTTGCAGTGAAATCTCAGGATGATGGAGGTGACTGATACACATATTTGGAAAAAACAATGAAACAACGCCTGGTCCGAGAGGCCAGTAGTATAACCTGGGGTGGGGTGGGGGATTCTTGAGTCCTACTTTGTTTCCAGTTTTTTCTTTTGAACTTGAAAATGAATAAATGGTGGTAGAAGAGATTTGACCCAATTTGGGCGATTCATATCCTGAACTGGACAAGTTTTGTCCTGGTGTGCTGAGGTTGTGGTTGGTGACCTACAGGTCCTACTTGGAAAAGTTCATTCTCTTTTTTAAAAATTTAATTTATTTTATTATTATTTTTGGCTCTTCTGGGTCTTGGTTGCTGCACGTGAACTTTTCTCCAGTTGAGGTAAGCAGGGGCTACTTTCTAGTTGCAGTGCGCAGTTGCCTTGGCCTCTTTAGGTGCACCAGCTTCAGTAGTTGCAGAACATGAGCTCAATACTTGTGGTGCAGGGGCTTAGTTACTCCAAGGCATGCGGAATCTTACTGGACCGGGGATCAAACCCATGTCCCCTGCATTGGCAGACAGATCCTTGTCCACTGCACCTCCAGGGAAGCCCAGGGTTCATTCGTGATTCTTTCCCACCCCAAACCCCGTATGGACCTTGGGGAAGGCCTCTGCTCCTGACCTTGTTCTTTTCGTGATTTGGATTTGTGTCTTGGGACTATTGACGGTGGTACTGGCAGAGGACAGGCCAGGGGGATCAGGACTGAGAGTTTAGGAGCTTTTCACTACCGAGCAAAAAACAGTGGGCCTGCTCTGGAAAGGTGGAATTCACCAGGGGAATGTGAGGGACTGCTTTTGGGAAAGTAACAGTGCAGGTAGAGTCTGGGGCTTGTGGTTTAGCAGCAACATGGGGGAGAAGAACTCCTGAGGTTTTGCTGATTGCAAACCCTGTGTACGTCAATACAGGAGGATGCGGCTTCCAGAGAAGCAGGTGTGGGCTCAGGCTCCTCTGACCCACCCTCAGTGGGGGCCGGGACGTGATACTCCAGGCTCCTTGAGCCTGACCGCGTGCCACCTTCTCAGAGCCCTGTGGGCAGAACAGATGGTTCCAGCCTCGAAGTTCTTCAGTTTAGGGAAATTTAATTTTATTTCTCTGGTAATTTTCACTCCTCTTATTTTACTGATCTCCCCTTCAGGAACTCATTATTAGTCAGATTTTGGACCTCTTAAGTTGGTCTTCTGATTTTCTCCTCTTCTTTTTTTTTTTAATACTATTATCCATCTCCTTATCTTTCTGTTCTACTTTTTGAAAAATTTCTTCTAAACTCACATTGAATTTTTTCTTTGATTATTTGCACTTTTAATTTCCAAGAGTTCTTTTTTGTTCACTGAATGTTCATGTTTTAAAAAAAGAGCATCTGGTCCTATCTGATCTGATCTGTTAATGCCTCCTTCCATTTCCATATATTATGTGTTAGCATATCTTAACTGCTGGGGTTTTGTTTTTGTCCTCTTCTCTTTGTTCTGGGTGTTCATACCTTTTAAAAAAATCACTTTACTTTTATTTCAGTGGGCCTTTGAGAGGAAACAGTTTAAGCCACTTTATCTAATTGCAAGTTTATTCTTTTATTTAAGCTTCATATATCTTTTTAAGTGTGTCTTTTAAGACATTTTGATGTGATTGATGGATTTTAAAACATTCAGTATAAGAGTCTGAATCTTGATCAGGGAGTTTAGTCAATTATATAATTACTATAATTGCTATTCTATTAGGACTTTCTTCTTCCATCTAATTTAATGCTTTCTACTTATCATGTATTCTCTCTGCTTTTTTTTTTTTTTCCTTTCCCTTTCCTTTATTGTGTAGATTGAATTTTCTTCTGCTGGTTTGAAAGTTATATATTCTTGTGGCTCCTTCTCACTTATTTGGCCCCATACCTTACCTCATTACTGTCTTGGGTCTTAAGAGTCTCAGCACCATCCTGCCTTTCTCCGCTCTCTTCACCTGCGCTGGTCCTGTGACATCTTCAGGGTGGATTCTGTGCGGGGACAGCAGCCCTTTTCCTTTGCCACCTTGCTTGGAACTGGGCCAGCTCCTTCAGGGCTCTCCTGGGAGGGACTCTCCTGCTCAGCAGGAGCAGGAGGTTCTATGCATGTTTGGGGGCTGGGTTCCAAGGAGGAGGGAGCGGGAGGATGGAGCTCTGCGAGCTCTGCCGCAGGGCTGGGAGCCCCAGACCTTCTGAAGCTCTTCCACCGTCTGCCTCTGAGACTTCTACTCCCTGCTTCCAGCTTCACTCTCAGATGCCGTGCATAACGGTGTCCTGCAACCCACAAAAGGTGGGAAACAAATGAGGGGAGGGAGCCTTGGCAAGATGATAGGGAGGGGCAGGGACTAGGTGGGGATGGCACGGGCACACCCCATCCAAGAAGGCAGCCGTTACCCAGCACCACCAACTCAAATCAAGCAACAGTGTGGCCCCCGCAGTGCCAGAGCTCTTGGGTTTTTGAGAGAAACCAGAAAATTGGATTTTCTATGTGAAATCTCCCATAACATCTTACAGAAGAACTCAAACGAACTTTTGGGCAAACCTAATATTTTTTGGCTTAGAAATGTTTATAACCCCCATGTAGGCCACATGGAGAAGACTCTTGAGAGTCCCTTTGATTGCAAGGGGATCAAATCAGTTAATCCCCCAAAAAATCAACCTTGCATATTCATTGGAAGGACTGATGCTAAAGCTCCAATTCTTTGGCCACCTGATGCAAACAGCTGACTCACTGGAAAAGACCTGATGCTGGGAAAGATTGAAGGCAGGAGGAGAAAGGGGCAATAGAGGATGAGATGGTTGGGTAGCATCACTGACTCAATAGACATGAACTCGAGCAAACTTTGGGAGAGAGTGGAGGACGGGGAAGCCTGGAGTGCTGCAGTTCATGGGATTGCAGAGTCAGACATGACTTAGTGACTGAATAGCAATATCAAAGCAATATAGCACCTCTGGTCCCGACACTGTCCCCAGTGATCCCCCTGGTTAGTCAGTTCTGTCCTTGTCACCCTTAACTTTTTTCCCTCCTGGATAAATGTCCCCCAAAGATGTCATTTCCTACACCCCTCCCCTCTTAGCCACCTCTTCTGGGCCCCTTTCCTCTGTCTGCTTGTTAGTCTAGCATCTCAGTTTACCAATCATGGAAATGGGTCTGGTGTCATTCACACTATCATGTGCTATTTCTGTTCTGTTAGCCATCCCCCTTATTTGCATTATTAATTTATCTACTAAATGAATAATTTGAGGGTAGCCCTCACTCTTGGCCCGTGAGTGTCAGGCACTCAGGTTTGGTTTTCCTGGAGCCTGTCTGCAGCCAGAGCCCATGAAGCCTGTTCCTAGAAGTCCTGGGAGGGACTGCTTTCCTGCTTACTGGGCTGTGGCTGCAGACACCACGTGCAGGCTCCCTAGTGCCTTGGCCTGCAGAGGGCAGACCTGTGGTGTAGCCCAGAGCTCAGGACCTGGGAACCTCCTGGGGGGGGCTCCCCTCCTGCTTGCCCTGGTCTGTCCCTGCCCGAGTGGCTGGAGCCTGCAGCTTTATATACGCTGGACAGTTGTGTGACTCATTCCTCTGCAGCCCCTCCGGTGGGGAAGTGAAACGGCTGCACCTGGTGAGGCTTGACCTTTGGATGACAGCGGAAGTAACTGTGCAAACGCAGGGCTCACTGCCTCCGAGGGAGAAGCCCTCTGCGCAGCCAGGCTGTGAAGAAACCTGTCACCTGGCCTGGCCTGGCCCCATGTGGCTCCAGGCTGGGGGCTCTGGTAACGGTTTCTCTTTCCTTCTCCCCCCCCCCAACTTTTCTTGGTGACAGCTGAAAGTAGCCGTGGTCACAACTGAGAGGGCCAAACATTTTTACAGCCCCCGGGATGTTCCTGTCACCCTCTACAGCGACGCTGATGAATGGGAGGTCAGTGCTGGGCCCCTGGGCTGGGTTCCCTCATGTCTGTATCAGCGGGACAGGACAGTCCTCCCTGCAGCCTATGGTCCTGGCAGCCAGAGCAGACAGGCTAGGCTCAACTCCGCGGTCAGGGCCTCTGGGCAGAGGCGATGAGGAAAACATCTGTCTAGCTTCTGGCCTGCAGGAGGCCCACAGTCTCCTCCCACCCCAGGCAGAGCTCAGCTTTGGCCCCGTGCCCGGGGTTGAGTGTCCTTGTACTTATCTGGGCTGATGAAACCACAGAGGAGCCCTGTTCCCACCACCCTCATCCACGTGGCTCCCAGCGTCGGGGCCGCCGGGAACGCCTCACTTCCCACGGCTGCCGGGCTCCCCTGCTGCTCTCCCGCGCCGGGGCGGGCTCTGGCCGATTCACCAGACGTCGAGTGTGGGCCCCACAGGGGTGCCCTGCCAGGCATTTTTAAACATTCTCAGCCTAGAACATTTCTGGCTGGCCCGTCTCCCCCACCCCGCCCCCTCCTTTTCTCACCACCCAGAGCCTTTCCACTGGCTTGGACAACCCAAGCATCCGCCTCAAGCAGACAGGCCAGGACTTCCCTGCCAGATGTCAGTTCTCTTGAAAACCAAACCATAAAGGGAATAGCTCAGAGACACAAGGAGCGTTTGTTTCCTCAGGCCTGGTTTCTCTCAGGCCGTTGGTGCCACAGCCAGGGTTCACCAGCGTAGCTGCAAAAGGGGTGGCAGGGAACTGGGGTGGGGGGCATTCGGGTGGTCTCCCTTGGGTCCCTGACTGTGTCCCGTGTCTGTGGCGACCCTCAGACCGCTCCGGCCCCTCCTCCCTCCACCCTGAGAGTGGCCGGCCCAGTGACCCCGCTTACCTTCGCTCTGCCAGATGTGGAAGTGCCGATCTGACCCAGTTCTCCACATCGACCTGCGGAGGTGGGCGGACCTTATGCTGGTGGCTCCTCTCGATGCCAACACTCTGGGGAAGGTGGCCAGTGGCATCTGTGACAACTTGCTTGTGAGTGACTCGCTGGGCCTGCCTCCCTCCCGGGGCCGTGCTCACTGTATGCGGGCTGCAGGCTTCTTCTGGACAGTCTTCTCACCTGGGGATCCCTGTGTGCTGGGCGGGTTTGCTCAGAACACAGTCCCCTGGACCACCCTCCACCCGGCGTCACCTGTGCTCCAGCAGGTGGCCAGATGGCCTGGGTCCCGATGGGTGGACTCGACTTGCGAGTGCCCTCTGAGGTGTCCGCCTCTCAGGCCCCTGGGCGCTCATGTCCATGGGCTGCCCTCCTGCTACCTTCCTGCTGGCCTCCCTGCCCGGCTCTGTGGCCGGTCCCCATTAGCTCTGCCTTCCCACTAGGACCTGGACATCCACGGGGCAAACGGATAAGAGTGTTTACCTCCTCATGGATCTCCCAGGCACACTTATCTCTCCTGTACTTTTAACCACAAGGCTGAGCGGTAGCTTCCCTGAGATTGTGGAACACTAAAGGGGACGAAAGGAGATGGGGCAAGAGGCTCGAGGCGGAGGAGAGGAAGCGAAGTCCAGCTGTAGAGAGGGGATCGTCTTCGGCCTGAGGGACCTCCAGGGAGCTGCTGTCCTCAAGGAGCCTTGGTTTACACGAGCACACTGGGTGTGCTCCCTATCCTTCCCCCTTCCCTCATTCATCCAGCTTTTACCTGCCAGGGACCAGGCCCTGTGTGGACAGACACGCAGGACACAGGGCGCTGACCATCTGGAAGGAGAGGGTTTTTGGCCTCTGCTCTGGTATGTGGTATGTCAGTCCTTTGACAATGGAATCACCATGTTGCACAGTATTGGGCATACAGTAGGCATTCAGTAAAGGCTTATTGCATGTATGAGGTAATCAGTAATTTTACTTCAGCTAACAGCAGAAGGTTTTTTCAGAGTTTAATGTGATGAAGTCACTAACGAAGCTGGGTCGAGGTTTTGGGGGTTAGACGGGGTTAGTCTGTTTGCTTGTTGATGGGTGCTTAAGGTATTTCTCAAAGAAGCTGCTAGTGATTTAAGCATCATTTGAATCAGAGCACAGGTGATCAGAAGTAGAACAACACACAGATCGTGTGGCAGGAGCAGGGGTGGGGGAGTGCCGAGGAGGGCGGGCTTGGGCCGCGTTGTCACGAACGCCTCCCGGCGGGGCTGCTACCTGGCTGACAGGACATCAGGATGGGTCAGGCTGCTGGTCACTTTCATCTAAGTGTGTCAGCGCTGTGTGTAATCAGCACCATCTCACCAAATGCCCAGGCTTTCCCCTGGCTGGTCAGCAGACAGCTGATATGACAAGGCACGCTGACCTCTAGGAGCTAAGCCCCGGCCTGGGCCGACTCTGAGAGCTCCTTGCTCGCTCCTGAAAGCTCTGCTTTCCTCTTTTCTTCAGAGCTGCCAGAGCTCCCTGGAATCTTTGGAGTTCCCTCCTACTGAGTTGGCTGAGCAGTAGAATATGTTCCCAAGACCAGGCCCGAGGCCCTGTGCCTCAAAGGTTTCACTTGAAGGTGCAAGTATTTCAAAGAACCACAAATCCTACAAAGTTTAAGCTGTTGTCATCATGGTCTGTGGCTCTGTCCTCTCTTGAAAGATGTTTTTCCTTATATCCTCCTGAAGGAGCTTGCCCCGCTTCCCCCCTCCTTCAAACCTTCTCCCTGACACTGGGGTGCACTGGAGCCGTGTGCTAGGTATGAACCTACGTTCCCAGTCTCTGGGCCCTGGGCCTGGGTGACGTGCATCTCTCTCTGCACTCTGGCCCACTCAGGCTCTGGCCCTTCTTTGTGCTAAATAACCAAGCAGATCCAGAAAGAGGAGATAACTTCCCTGGGTCACCCGTCCAGTTGGCAGCTGGTCTCCTATCCCAGATCCAGGCCTTTTCTCTGCCCAAGCGGATTCCCAGGGGCAGAGCCTGAGGTGCTACATACAGCATTGGCCAAACAGAAATGACCATGGCAACTGATGCCTCCTTTCAGTCCTCCTGCTGCCAGAAGGTTTGGAGGAGTTGTGGTTTGTCCGGGAAGTGCTGAGCTTTGTGATGAGATGGGAAAAACTGGAGACATGTGGGGCACACAGGAGTTGAGTTTGTGTTCTGGTGGGTGTACTTTGCTTTGAGGGCATTTAGAAACCCCAGCCCTGCCACCACCCACCTCACACGGAGCCAGGGGACTCCTCTAGGTATGCTCACGGCTTCTGCAGAAGCAGCAGGTGGCACGGGGCCAAGAGGAAGTGAGGACTGAAACTGTCCACTCACAGCCGGGTTGCCTCACCGCGAGGACTTGGTGGGGAAACAAGCGCTGTGTCTGAGATGACGCGAGCAGCCAGGGCCTGAGGCTGTGTGCTGACCCGCTTCCTTCCTGTCGCGGGAGAGTGCAGGGGCCCTGAGGAGGGCAGGCATTTTCCCTGGCCTGTCCGTGGCATTGTTCTCTGGACTCCCCCTCTATTCCCAGACAGGCTCCCCTTCAGGGAAGGGGTGTGCCCACCACTGGCTCCCTGAGGGGCCCACAGCCCAGTCAGAGGTGCCTGGAGCGGTCAGAGCCCAGGGGAGTACACCACTGTGGGCCCCAGAGCTTATTTCCCTCTGAGGCAGTCTCTGGCCCAGGGAGCCTGTCTGTAATAATAACAGGACCTACTATTTCTGGAGCCTGTATTTGTGCCAGGCCTGTGCAAAGAGCTTTATAAGCATTCTCACCCTCCATCCTCACGACCACCCAGGGAGGGCTTTTGCAGAGAGGAACCCCAGACTCCTGTCATGAAAGGACTTGTTCAAGTTCTCATGGCTAGTCACAGCAGAGAGCACAGCAAGATTTGAACCCAGGTCCATGTGATTGCAAAGCTCACAGCACTGAAGACTCTGTGAGCTGGTCTGTCCTTTCCATAGCTGCTCTGGTATTTACTTGGAGGGGCCTGACACCGGGAGGTAGTGAAACTACACAGCACAGTGGAAGACAGCATGGGTGTTATGTAAAGCCTCACCCCGGATCATTGTCTGGGTGTCACCTTGGGTAATGGCTCACCTCCTGGAAGTGCAACTTCCCCTCAGTGAAATGGATCAGCAGCTTCTTTACAGGGTCACAGTGCGGGCTCATGAGATAACACATGGGAGAGGGTTTGGTCCCGTGGAAGCTGTTCTCATGGCCACCATTTATTGGCCTCAAGGAGAGCTAGTGTGGGGTAGATGGGCCCACCTGCCGGGCAGCCTTGTCCTCAGCTTTGCGAGAGCCACTGCGAGGTGTGGCTGGCTATAGGGAAGACAGATGCTTGGGCACCGGGAGCCCTCTCTACACAGAAGTGGAGGTATGCTTGGAGGTGGCTGGGCCATGGCCAGCATTAGTGGAGCAGCTCCTATATGTCAGGCCCTGTGTCAGAGCCTGGGGGAAGGTGAGAAGGACCCAGAGACACATCCTCGAAGTAATGAGACAGCAGACAGTGGTCCCCAGTTACCCCAGGCCCACGGCTGGCTGTGGCCCGGAAGCAGTGGGTAACATTTGGGAAGTCTGGGGAGGGGTGGCAGGCAGAGCAGCAGGCACGCCCCTCCTTCTTCACAGACCTGTGTCATCCGGGCCTGGGACCGCAGCAAACCCCTGCTCTTCTGCCCGGCGATGAACACCGCCATGTGGGAGCACCCCATCACTGAGCAGCAGGTGGGCCAGCTCAAGGCCTTCGGCTACATCGAGATCCCCTGTGTGGCCAAGAAGCTGGTCTGTGGAGACCAAGGTGGGTGTCTGGCCAGGCTTACAGCTCATTCCTGCAGCCTCAGATCCCAGCCTGTTGTGACCTCCAGCTCAGCTCTCTCACCTGGGAAATGGAAGTGGTAATTCCTCCCTCTTGGAGTTGTTAGGTAACGTGCCCAGTATCCTCCCTGGCATGCAGCCCGAACAGTTCAAGGTGGCTGCTGTAACCATTCCTGGGGCCTGTCCTGGGCGGGGTGTCTCTGATGGGACTCAATGAATCTGGCTCTGGCTTGGTCCTGGCGTTCTCAGGTCCTGGGCTCTGGGTGGCACACTTGGGGAGCTCTGGGCAGGGGTGAGTGAGAGATTGTCCGCTGCCCCGGTCTGCAGGGCCACAGAAGAACTCTGCTCCCTAGGTCTGGGGGCCATGGCTGAGGTGGGCACCATTGTGGATAAAGTGAAAGAAGTCCTCTCCCAGCACGGCGGCTCCCAACAGAGTTGAGCCCAGGATTTCTGTCCCCCGTGTCCCTCTGAACTCAGGAGGTGTTTTCAGGCCAAGTCGGTGAAGAAAGTGGACTTAGCCAAAATATGGTGAAGACTTCTGCTTTCGCCAAGTAGTGGTCTGGCCTGGGCCTGCTCTGGAGCCTCCCGAGGGCCATGACCTGCTCCAGGTCAAGGTAGATCAAAGGCCCAGGTCCCAGCTTCTTCGAACCAGGAGACACCCGCTTTCCTGAGTTCCTCCCCACCTTTTCCTGGGGTGGGCCCAGCAAGCCAAAGGACAAGCTGCAGAAGTGTGCCTGTGCCCTGGGAAGGGGGCCTAGGAGTGACCGAGAAACCTAATCTGACCTCGTGCCCAGGACCTGCCTTTAGAAGGAGTGACTCGAGAGCACCACAGCATCAGCTGGAGACCCCGGGCGTGGAGCTTTAGCTCCTCAGTGGGCACAGGGAGGCCTGCGAGTTGGCCAGACCTTGAGATTTCCTGCAGACCATGCTGTGAGATTGAGGCTGAGAATAAAGAAAAGTGACCTTCTGAGAGACTGTCCTTCCTTGGCAGCCTGTCTGTGGTTTTAGAGGTCAGAGACTGGGTGGGGAAGGGTCTAGGCTGGCAACTGACCAGCACTCCTTAGTCCTCACATCATTTGGTGGTTTGGGGCAAAGGATTCTGAAGCCTGACAGCTCTCGTTCCAATCCCAGCTCTGCTGTGTGCCAGCGGTGGGACCTCAGCTTGGGGCTAAGCCTTTCTGACCCTCACTTTCCTCATCTGTATTATCCTACCCTCATGGAGTTGTTGAGAGGACTTAATAAGATAATGTGTATAAAATGCCCACCCTATTGCCTCTCACCCTGGAGGAGGGCATGGCAACCCACTCTAGTATTCTTGCCTGGAGAGTCCTCTGGACAGAGGAGCCTAGTCGGCTACAGTCCATGGGGTTGCAAAGAGTTGGACATGACTAAAGCGACTAATACTTTCACTGCCTCTCACATAGTAAATGTCAGATAAAATGGAAGTTACAACTAGATACGTATTCATACCAGTGAGCTTTTCTAATGTTTACTGAAATAGACTGTGTCATTTTGGGAAAAACAAAATCATGGACCGTAAGCTGATGTGCACTTTATATAAGTGACAGGCACACAGCCAGCAGGGTTGGAACCTGCCCTGGAACCCAGGCCCCTTGCTTCCTGGTGTCATCCTCATGAGCTTTGCTGTGCCTGAGATGGGGCCTCAGTGTCTGTGCCTGCCTCCGCAGCAGCATACTCCAGAGATAACAAGCTCTGCCCCAGGAGCCCTCTGCTACCCTTGCCTTTGACCCACTGTTGTCTGCTGGCTGCGTGGGGAGGAGCTTATTTGACTGGAGCTGAGATTGGGGCTGGCTTTTGGCCTTCTTGCCTTCCAGGCTGGTATGAGTGAGTATCCCCCTGCATGCCCTCAGACCGCTGAAGGGTAGAAATGCCTTGGGAGGGCCCCAAGTTGGACCATAAAGAAGGCTGAGCACCAAAAAATCGATGCTTTCGAAATGTGGTGTTGGAGAAGACTCTTGAGAGTCCCTTGGACTGCAAGGAGATCAAACCAGTCCATCCTAAAGGAAATCAACCCGGAATATTCACTGAAAGGACTAATACTGAAGCTGAAGCTCCAATACTTTGACCACCTGATTCGAAGCGTGGGCTCATTGGAAAAGACCCTGATGCTGGGAAAGATTGCGGGCAGGAGGAGAAGGGGACGATAGACGATGAAATGGTTGGATGGCACCACCAACTCAATGGACATGAGTTTGAGCAAGCTCTGGGAGACTCTGGGAGATGGCGGACAGGGAAGCCTGGTGTACTGCAGTCCATGGGGTTGCAAAGAGTCAGACACAATTGAGCAACTGGGCAATAGGAGGCCTGCTGGTGGTAACCAGGGCTGCCTCCAGCAGCCTCCAAGAGCCTTTATCTCTGTAGCACTTCACCAAGTGATCCTTCGGGATAAAATTGCCTTAGGGCACTAAAGAAAAGAACCAACTTCTTTTGCTGGGTTGGGGGTCGGGCATGGAGAGGCTCTGGATAACTGAAATCCGGACGCGGTCCCAAAGTTCTGTGTCCGACTTCCTTCTGTCCACATCACCCTTCCTTTCCCTCAGCAACCTCCTAATGAATGATGAGACTTTCAGTTTTTAAAAAGATTTTTTTGTCCGCGCTTCATACAGCGTGTGGAATCTTAGTTCACCAACCAGGGATGGAACCCACGCCCCCTGCATCGGAAGCTCGGAGCCTTAAGCACTGGACCTTGAAGGACGTCCCCTAAGACTTCTGGTTTTAACAGAAAGTGCTGCAGCATGCTTGCTATGTACAAGGCTCTGTGCTGAGCACTTTAGGGAGGACAGTTGCTCAGGAAACCTGCTACAAGATGCCTGTTTTAAAATGTCACAGGAGTAGAGAAATTCATAGGCCTGTCTGCTCAGAGCAGGACTGAGCCGTGTTGACTGGAAGGAAAGAGATGTTCCAGGGACGTGGGCCAGTGAGAAGTCCACCACTCCATCGTGGCATTCCTGCATTCTGAAGGAATGAGGATCTGGATGAATGGGCAAGGGCTGGAGAGCCCACCTGCTCCCTGAGCCACGCTGGAGCAGAGGAGAGGGCAGTTAGGGCCCTGGCTACATTTACCCCATCTGCCAGCGGGGTGCTGAGGTGGGAGTGACAACCACCGCCTCCCCCAGGAAAAGGCTCTTGAAGTTGTCATCATCTTGGGTCGACATGTTTCTCAGAGAAGGTGCTAGCTTCGCTGATGATTTTTATAGAATTCTGGAAGCTTGGCAGAATAGAACATTTGGTCTGAAATTCTTGCTGTTGTTTGGAGTCTCTCTAGGCTGCCATGGCTGCTGCTGGGCAAGAGGTGGAAGCCTCCAAGGCTCTGCCTCCACTCTGGACCGACTCCAGCTCATCCTCCACACGGCTGATGTGTCCCCCTGCCACCTCCCCCTGACTTCCAGGCAGTATCCTCTTGGCCCTCTGTGATCTGGCCCCTGTCTACTTCCTAGCTCTGCCCCTGCCACACACCAACCCTGCGGGGCTCCCTGTCTTCTTGCCAGACTGGACAGCCTTGGCTGAGCCCTGTTGCTTCTTGCCTTTGCATATGCTTTTCCACTTTACTGGAAGACCATTCTCCTGGCTGCTTCCCGCACACTTCCAGATTTACCTGGATGCCACTGCCTTTGGAAAGCCTTGCCTGGCCAACTCAGGCAGGATGAGGTGGTCCTAGCCCAGGTTCCCATTGTGCCCCGTCTTGTTTATTATACTATGGAATTGCAGTAGTCAGTCTGTATCTCCCTGAAACTGGGGTCTCCTGGAAGGCAGGAGTTGTCCTGTTCCTCAAAAAACCTGGCAAGTCATTCCAAGCTTTTTGTACAGGCAGAATTTTTAAAAGCTGTGTGTTGGGGGCTGGAGGGGGATGAAGGAGGGGCTGTCTTGCTCCTTTGGCACCCAACCTAGGAGCCATAAAAGCAAAGACTGATAAATTTGACTACACAAAAACAATTCCACCGAGCAGTAGCCCAAAGGCAAGGTTCCCAGGTGGCACAGTGGTAAGGAATCCACCTGCCAATGCAGGAGACACAAGAGACTGGGTTTAATCCCTGGGTTGGGAAAATCTCCAAAGAGGTTATATTCATTTACACTCCTACCAGCAAAGTATGAGGGTGCCATTTCCTTGCCCTCACCAACCTAGTAAGTTGAAAAACCTCATTTCAGTTAGAAATCCCCTCTCTTTCCAGAGCCACGGGTGTGGCGGAGGCCTTCACTGTAGCCTGGCTTCCCTGACTTAGCCCCTGGCTTCCTCCCCGGCTCCAGCTTCTCAAGTCTCCAGTCTGTCCTGCATGTAGCATGCAGCAGATGTTTATCATACTCCACGCTCACCATGAGGCTGCCCCGCTATACAGCTCCTGACCCCCCCCCCCAGCATGCAGAGTCCAGGACCCCATCCAGGTGCCCACATCAGCACGTGGCAGCGTGTCTCCACCCTCTGCCCCTGTTCTTGGTATGCTGGCCCTCCAGGGAGCACCAGCCTGAGTGCCACTCCCTCCCAAAGGCATCGCCTGGTGCCTCTCAATTCTGAAAACTCTCATTTCAGTGTGACGTTTTGTCTGAACAAGTCTATTACGGAAGCATTGCATATGGCAGTAAAGGACTGGAAACACTCTCGCATCTAACAACTGAGGTTGGTTAATGTGGGGCTTACCTAGTGGTCGAGCGGTTAAGAACATGCCTTGTAATGCAGGGGACGTGGTTATTGGTCCCTGGTCAGGGAAGTGAGATCCCACATGCCGTGGGGCAACTGAAGCCGGAGTGCTGCAACTGCTGAGCCCGTGTGCCACAACTGGAGAGTCCAGGAACCGCAACAGAAGACCCTGCGTGCTGCGACTAAGACCTGACGCAGCCAAGTAAACAAGTGCATTTTTTAAAAGGTTGGTTGGTTTAATAAATCAGGGTCATCCTTGCATGGGAACATTGCACAGCCACAGTGAGGAAGCTCTCTAGGTTTGACCTGGAAGATGTCTGAGATACATTATTAAACAAAACGCAAGATGGAGAGCAATATATATTGCATGTTAACTTGTGTATTAAAAAAACAAAAAACAAGAGAAAATGAGGATCTATTTGCTAGAATACCTATTGAAAAACAAGAATTCAGTCCATTGTTTGCCTCGCAGCAGGGGAGCTGAGTGGTTGAGAAACAAAGGTAGGCAGCTGACTTCATTTTAAGTTTTGAGCCAGATGAGTACATTATTCCACCACAAAAGCCATAAATACATACATTTTTTAAAGGGTTCCCTCTGCCCTTTATCAAGAAGTTCTTAAAAATGACTTGGCAGGGAGGTGATGCAAAAGACTTGGCAGGGGTATCTGGAGATTTCCATCAAGGCCTTTGGAGTAGAAATGGTCTGTTTTTCTTGTCATGAGCTAATAATAGAGGAAGATGACTTCTGAGTATCCCTGGGTGCTCCTTATAAGTTTTTGAGGTCCCTGATCTCAAGGAGCTAACGGTCTTATGGAAAGAAGACTCAAGGCTTTAAAACAGTTATAACATCAAGTGATGGAGAAAATAAAAAGTGAAACTGTTTAACATAGTGATTGCCGTGATTCAGAATTGAGAAGCAGCCAGGCGATGGCCTTTTGGAGGGAGTGGTGCTCAGGCTGATGCTCCCTGAGCGGATTGCAGGGATTTCCTTCACGATGTCACAATGTGAGGGAAAATCAGCAAGACTAAAGTGTTAGGCTTCCCTTGTAGTTCAGTTGGTAAAGAATCTGCCTGCAATGCAGGAGACCTGGGCTCAGTTCCTGGGTCGAGAAGATCCCCTGGAGAAGGAAATGGCAACCCACTCCAGTATTCTTGCCTGGAGAATCCCATGGACAGAGAAGCCTGGCAGGCTATAGGTCATGGGGTCGAAAGAGTCGGACACGACTGAGCAACTAAACCACCACCACAGAAAGTGTTAAAACCACAGTCCTTGTGGCAAGTAGGGGGAAGGAGAACTTAATTACAATTGTGTGCCTGGTGGTGCAAGACTTATTAACGGTTCCCCAGTCCCACCCACTAAAGAGAATTTTGCTTTGGGACTTCTTGGTGACCCAGTGGTTACGAATCCTTGTTCCAACACAGGGGATGCTGGTTCGATCCCTGATGGAGGAACCATGGCTGTATTCTCTGTGCTATGCAGTCATCCTTGTGGCTTATTTATTTTATACATCGTAATTCCCCGATAGCTCAGTTGGTAAAGAACCCGCCTGCAATGCAGGAGACCCCAGTTCAATTCCTGGGTCGGGAAGATACGCTGGAGAAGGGACAGGCTACCCCCTCCAGTATTCTTCATTTTCCTTCACGATGTCACAATGTGAGGGAAAATCAGCAAGACTAAATAAAGTGTTAGGCTTCCCTTGTAGTTCAGTTGGTAAAGAATCTGCCTGCCAATGCAAGAGGCCTGGGTTTGATCCCTCGGTTGGGAAGATCCCCTGGAGAAGGGAAAGGCTACCCACTCCAGTATTCTGGCCTGGAGAATTCCACAGACTCTATAGTTCATGGGGTCGCAAAGAGTCAAACTACAGTTTTGAAACAGGAGGGAAGGGGGCAGGGCACGACCTTTAAAAGAATAATATAGACCAAGGATATGACATAAACTGATTAGAACCAAATAGGTCCAAGGTGGTGGACAACTCAACTTCCACTAGACCTTGAGCCTCAGTGTAAGCTCATTGTAACACATTAGCATGCTACATGACACAGCCACAGGGGCCATGACAGTTGTAAGGCCAACCACAAAGGTCAAAAGTAGGCAGTGGCCCAATTCCTGGAAACTCCTACCCTTTCCCCCAAATAGCTGGAATATTCCTCCCACTCATTAGCCTATAAAATTACCCACCCCTATAAAAAACCCTATATCCTGGTGCTGCTCTCACCTTCCGGGATGGCCCACACTCTGTAGAGTGTGTTTCTCTCTAAATACTTCTTACCTATCACTTTGTCTCTCACTGAATCCTTTCTGTGAGGAGACATCATGAATTTAAGTCCTGAGACGAGGAGTGATCTCAGTTAAAAGACCCATGAGTCCAAGTCCCAGTCTGAGTTACAGTTTCAGTTTGCATCTCCTCATCCCCTGTCCCTATCTTTTCCCTTCCCACTTTTCCCACTGGAAATCACCAGAATACTTTAAATTTCTTTGTCAGTGTGTGCTTCTCTGGTGTGTTGACGTTGCAGGATTGAGCCATATGAAGCCCTGGATTGTATCTGGGTTATGTGTATGCATTGTGTGGTCCTTATACTGCTGAGAGGTTCATTGAACTCTAAACACAAAGCCTCATAATAGAATCAACTAGTATATTTAATTCCATTTTATAGATGGCAAAGTGAGGGTCACCCAGCCAGTTTCTCTTTCTTCCCTGAAGCCACCTGCAAATAGGCTGCAGAACGGAACTTCCATCCTCATTAGCATTTACCTCCCTGGGACCTGTGGAAACACCCCCTCCACCACACACCACCACCACCAGATACCCTTTCTCAGTCCCAATTTAGCAGCTGCTTCTTTACATTTCCCATCCTGTAGCTTCCCTTATACATACACTGTGGTTTCTTGGGCAGCACGAAAATCCGAAATGTCACGCAACTGCCTCTGAACAAAGAGCCCTAGAGTCAGCTCCCAGTGACTGACAGTTTGTTTACATCAAGAGCTTCCTGGTGGAACCAAATATTCCATAATATTCGAGGCAGGCTTGATGCTGCCTGGGGCAAGGCAAGGGGAAGGAGCAGGCCAGGAGAGCTGCTAGCTGTCTAATAGCAAAGGAATGCCAGTGGTATCACAGTAGGCGGCTGTGAGGGCAAGGGCCAGATGGGAGATGAGAACTTCCGGGTCTTTGGAGGACAGCTGCTAATCCAGGTGTGATCTAGGAGCATGCCAGTTACTTGCTGTAACAGGCTGGCCTCATGGCAGCTTTATCTGCTGCAATGACATGGTTACTATTTGCCTGCTGGCCCAGATAGCAGGTCACTGGGACTGGAGGCCCCGCAGACTCCTTTTGGGGCCTCTGGATTCCTGGAAAAGTAGGGGGGGTAGAGTTCAAAGGTGCCTTCTGTTTGTGTGGGCAAGGTAGATGAGGGCTGAAGGGTTTCCGGCTATAACGATTGGCTTGGAAGCCACCCATAGAAACACGTGGATGCACGCAGGAAGGAGAGGCTGGAATGCTCCTCAGGGCCTGCAGGGAGCTTGGGGGTGGAGGTGAAGATCATTTCTTATTTTGGGGAGAGATCAGGGCTTGGGGGCTCATATGTCACTGGGGGCTTCTGAAAACCACTCTCTTTGGTAGCGGAGTTGAGCTCTGGAGCCCCACAGTGGGGGGAGGAGGGGAAGCTGGCATGATGGGAACCAGGGAGGGAAGGCCATAGAAGGGTGCTCATGTTTATCTAGCGCCTGACCTGTGCCAGACACGTGCTTTGCTTACCTTATCTCATTTCATCCTCTAGCAGCCTTCAAGACAGGCATTGCTATCCTTATTAAAAATAATAATAATAATAACCTGAAGCTCAGAGAGAAGGAAATAAAAATCCTCCCAACTGCATACCAAGCCATGGCCTCTTAGAAGGGAAAGGAGAATGTGTTATAAAGCTGCTCACATAGGCTGGAGCTGAGCTGAGAATGGAGAGAGGTGCAGGTAGGCTGACCATGCATCTTGTTGTTGAAGGCGGGCTCTTCTGAGAATGAAAAGGGGCAGTAAATATGCCAGGACAATAGGCATCAAGTGGGACTGTCCTGGGAAAACCAGGATGCGTGGCCCCCCTACCACAGAGCACCTGAAGGAAGTACTGTTCAGAAACCACGCCCTGTGAAGTCACAGCTACCATTTATGATGTAATCCTCATAGCAATTCATAAGGGAGAGTGTATTATCCCATTTGACAGATGAACAGACTGAGGCTCAAAAGCATCACTTCACTTTCTCAAGGTCCCACAGCTTTTAAGTGGGGAAGATCTGGCTGGCTGCAAGTCCTGGTTCTTGCTGTGAGTCACGCTGCCTCCCAGACTCAGGGCCTTTGGAGTAAGACCAGAGAAAGAGAACGACTGGAGAAGCAGAGGTAAAGGGCTTGGGTCTTGGAGTGTGACAGACCCTGTGACAGCCACTGTGTGGCCTCTTTTAGGACTTCATGTGAGCACTGGCTGGGGACAGTGGGTTGCTGGGGCAGGGTGGAGGCCCCAAAGGCTTCTGCAGCCTGGACCTCCAGGGGGCAGTGGCCTAGGCTGGAATTTCTAGGGGGAAAAAAAAATCATTGTTGTGTTGCTTCGTGTCCATGACTGGTGAACAGGAACACTGAGAAATTGAATGGTAGGTATCCTGGAGTCAGGACTGTCCCCTCTGGTCTGTCGACCCCTTTTCCTTCCAGCTTAGTCCCTCTGGGGCTCCTGGAGAGACTGTGAGGGTTTGGGATGTAGAAATACTCTAGGTCAGGGGCAGAAAGCCTGAAAGGTCACGCACATGTGGAGGGTTTGTGAGCCTTGGGGTTAGTTCCTGCTCTGTTCTCCAGCCAGCCTGACATTCCAGGAATGGATCAGCAGCCATAACAGACAATGGAGGGCCCGTCCAAACCTCAGATGACCTTTGCAGTCTCCTTAACTCATTGCATCACAGGTGGATGGGCAGGGAATTGGACACTGGTCATCCCGCCAGTCAGAGCACACCACCTGTGTGCTCTCAGATCTGGGCTGGCAGGGCTGATAAGGGAAGAGAAGTCCCTGCCCTCAGGGATGACGAGTCGACCTGGGGTACTTCCCTCAAGTACAGTAGCCTGTGGCCTCTGCAAGTTAATGTTGCATAATCAAGGGCTGATCATATTTCTTCCTTCATAAAAAATCTTTTAAAAAAAAATTAAGACTTCATTTTTTAGAGCAGTTTTAAGTTTACAGGTAAAGTGAGTGGAAAGTGCAGAGAGTTTACATCCACCTTCCTCTCCTACATGCACAACCTCCTCATATTCATTCATTTCTCAAATTCTGTGTTCCTCACACTGTCCTGGACCAAAGGCCCAGCCCTATCATCAAGGAACAGGGAGGGAGGAAGGGATGGAGGTAAGTAGGCCTAGGGTGCCAGGGGAGCCCAGCAGAACCCTCCACCCAGCCTGCAGGGGTGGTCTGAGGAGTGAGGAAGGACCTCAGAAGAAGTTCCCAAAGTGTTAGTATCTCAGTTGTGTTCGACTCTGCAACACCATGGACTGTGTAGCCCACCAGGCTTCTCTGTCCATGGGATTCTCCAGGCAAGAATGCTGGAGTGGGTTGCCATGCCCTCCTCCAGGGTATTTTCCCAAACCCAGGAATTGAACCTGCATTTCAGGCAGGTTCTTTACCATCTGGGCCACCTGGGAAACCCAGAGGAGGTTCCACCTGGGCTGAATTCTAAGGGTGTGGGCATTAGCGAAGAGTAGGGATGGCAAGATTGGGGTGCAGTGTGTACAAAGGCCTGGGGCCAGAGGCACACCTGACCCAGATTCTGTAAAGCCCAAAGCTAACCGGTTTAGTCTGAGGAGGAAGGGTCCACGTAGGCCAGAGTCGGTGGGAGGGGCTTACCGGTGTGGGTGGGGCCAGTACTGGCCCTTGAAATAGTTAGAAAGCTCAGGTACTGGATTGTGCAACTTGTGGCTTTAAATGTGTCCTGAAGATTCTTCAGGGGTTTTCATTGTTGCCTCAAGTACCAGCCCCTTGAGAACAGGATGGGTTTTTCTGGTGGCCTGGGGCTAACCCCTGCTTCGCTTCTGCCCAGATATAGCCTTGACCAACAGTCTGACATCTCACAAGGAAGCAGACAAAGCTCACCTGGCAAAAGTAAGAGGTCTAGAAGGTTTTCTCGGATCGTGTCAGGTTTTCTCCATTTATTCATCCCTGATGGTAGTTCCAAGGGAAGAGGGGTATGAGGAAAAGGAAGCCTTTTCTAATAGAGCAGGCTGACCAAGGCACAGGGAGAGCAAGGATTTGGACCCCTGTCTGCAGCACTCAAGAGGCAGTGCCTGAGCCCGCTGGGAGGGGCAGCCCCCAGGACCAGATTGGGGAGGATGCCCCATGCAGCTGAGCCTCAGAGCCTTGCTCACTTGGTTAGAAAGTGCAGACAGTAAAGTATGACTTTTCCTTGTGGCTCTGAAAGAGGAATGACGATGAAGGGGCTCTGAGGTCATCAGAGAGCAAAGATAGTCCTGGACTAGACTAGACTGGAGAATTCCCAAAGGAATCCTGCAGTAAGAGCCAGACCTCTTCCCCGCCCTGACGGCTCTGCCTGCAGCCAAGAAGCCCCATCTGGTGATAAGAACCTGCCTGTTAGAAGTCTTGGGCTGTGAACACGCCCCTCTCACCAACTTCCGGGGGAGGAGACTCACCTGTGCTGAGGCCTGGTGCTAGGCCCTTTGCACACAAGACTTGTACTTCATCTGTCATCCTGTGAGGTGCGCACTGCTACCATCCCCGTCTTAGTGGTGAGTAAACTGAAGCTGGCGGAGGTGAAGTGACTCACCAAAGAACAAACTGGTGGTAGTGGGTGGAAGGGAGTAAGGTGAGCAGAGGCCCAAAGGGACAGGGCCTGGGGCCAATAGCAGTTGGCTGTGGGAAACCAAGGCACGTGCCTGTGAAATGAGAACTTTCTTTCTCATGAGCTGAAGTGAACATACAACAACGCACTTCGCTTCCCCCAAAGTTTGGGCTGTATTAATAGTGGCATGGCATGCAGGTCAAAGGAGGAGATTAGTCCTCCTTCTGACTGAGACTACCTGAAGGGCTAGGATCCTTTCAAGGCCCCCAACACCTAATAGCCACAGAAGAGCCAGCACACTGTACCAGACCAGATGGACAGGGAGGAGAAGCCTGGGGAGACCGGTATATCCTAGACCTCTGAGGAATCTCCTGGAGGCAGAGTCCAGCCCCATAGAGAGAAAAACATCCTGGAACTTAGGAATTATGAAAATGGAATGAAAAATATGAGGTAGTGAGCCTCTTATGCTGGGAGCAGATGCCGGAGGACCAGAGATGCGGAGAGGACTCCTTCCTAGCCTCACGGGTGGTCTAGATTCAGCCCTCACATTGACGGAGCATGTAGTGTTCACCTTTCCACCACACATGTCCAGCAAACACAGGGTTTTAGGCCACACAGGTGGTGAGGCTGACCCTGCCTAGCCTGGGCCAGGCTCTAGGTTTGTTCTGCAGTTCTGCTTAGACTGCTTTGGGGAAACCAGGCATTGGAAATGGTGGAGGTCTTGGACCTGTGAACTGGCTGCTGCTGGACTATCTGAAGTCACCTTTTTCAGAATGCTGAATATTGTCTAGTGCCCTGGACCTTCCAGCTTCCCATCATGGAGTCTCCACTCAATCAGAACCTAGGAGAAGCCAACAAACCACTGCCCCCCGTCCCCATCACCTGTGTGGGCAGCAGGACTTCCCAGAGCACCCTGACCTCCCTAAAGAGAGGCTTCCCTGGCCCTCATACCTCAGAACTCAGTCTTGATCCCCTCTGTCTGACACTGTGTAGTCCCCAGACTTTGCCCTTTTTCCTGACAAGGGCTCCAACCCACGTCCACTGCAACTTCCCACTGCCATCCACAGCCTCCAGACCTGGCCCTGTCAATGGTTCTCTCACCTGTCTTCTACTCTCCACTTGGCTGGTCTAGTCTCTGCTGAGTTTGAGGGGCTAGGGCCAGTCACAGTTTTTTAAATTGAATTAGAGCATATAATATGCCACCCAGATCAAGCGAGAGAACACTTTCAGGTCCATCCTTTTAAAATGGCTTGATCCCCTAGACTCCCACAGCTTTATTATTGGACACTTGGCAGCTGTTGCCTTTTATCCCAGCTAGCTGCAGGAGGGGGAAGCATTCTGGGAGCTGTTTGTTTTTCTCCCTGCCTGACCTAGCACAGTGTGAGGCCTGTTGGAGGTGCCCCTTGAGGCCCATTAGATGGAGGGGTGTCGAGTTTCCCAGGTGTGTCTCTGCATATATGCTCAGTTGCCCCTCAGAAATGTGGGAGAGGCGACAGGTGAACGATGGGGTCACGGGAGTGCAAGAAAAGCCCTGAGCACCAAATGTGCTGGTTCTGCTCAGGTGACTGGCCACCCCAGTGTGATGTGTGTAGGCCTGGAGGCACACATTCCCAGCAGAAGGTTCAGCTGTGTAGAATTCCGTGTATGGAATGCCCTTTCTAGAGAGCCCTGGCTATGGCATGGGGCTGGCCAAGCTCTCATCCTGGGCCCTGGAGCTTCAGGCTTGAGCACCCACCATGGCAGGATCAGACAGCTTAAGGAAGAGGGCCAGGCCCAGCTCCAGGAGCCTTTGAAGTCAGATGCCTGGTGCAGAATGTTCTGAGGGAGGCGAGATCACACAGATTCTCAGGTAGAGGCCAAGACCCCTGCTGCTAGCCTGAGGGAGTCTATCCCTGTCTCCTCTGGCTTCAAGGCCTTGGGAGATGGTGCCCTCTAGGAAATAGAGCCATGGCCTGGGCTTGAGCAGCAAAGTGGGCGCAGCAAGGAGTTGGAGGGAAGTGGGAGGCATGGTAATATGGGAATGGGGTGTGGTACATGAAGTTCAACAGCTGTCCTGAAAAACTGTGTCTCCAGTCTATTGGAAGGTTTGAAGACTCACTCCCTCTTTGCTCCAGGCAGAGAGGAACCTCTTCTCTGAGGTCCTCTTCTCTGAGGTCCAGATGCTGGTTGTCACTGAGGGTCTTCCTCTTGGGTGGGTTCTGAGTCCCTCAGATCATCCTGTTCCTGTCTTCTCTTATCTTTTTGATTGTAGTAAATATTTAGGGGTCTCACTTGGGGACACTGGGTGAATCTGATTTTACATCATATCTGTTAACTCAAGGCTCAGAGTCTGACTTTACATCGTATCTGTTAACTCCCAGGTCCATCTGACACCAAAATTTGCTTTAAGGCAGCATGGTGGCAACATCTTATTATGAGGGATGGGCTGTCCCTCCATGGTTAGTAGAGGCATGATCACAAGCATATGCTGTTAATAGGGAAGGAGAGAGAGAAGGAAGAGAAGTGCATGCCAATGGTCAGTGTAGATGATAAGGACTGAGGTGTCTTAGATCAGCCCCTGAATGGGGGAGGCTGGGATGTGGACATTTCCTGAGGACCTACGGTGTGCCAAGCACTTGTTTGTGTATGATCAGCAGGTATATTATTATTTTTATTTTACTAAGAGGGAAGATGATGCACAGAGGATTTACCCAATCGGAGTAAAAGATGTGGAGATGGGTTTTGAGCCAGGTGTGGCCAATTCCAAGGTTGGCCCTCTTTCTTCTCCATGGAAAGTGATCTCCAGTTGCTATAAGTATGCCTTCAGGATGGGATGTCAGCTGCCCAATAGCTAATTTTCAGACATTTGAGGGAGGTCTTTAACATGTAAGAGAGGCCAAAGCAACAGAAAAGGGGAATGTCTCTGAGATTTGATTTGGTACATTTGCACCAATGTACAGAGAGGCTGAGCTTTTGGTGACAGTAAGGAGTTAGAGCCCTGCTTTCCCTCTCCCCTCCCAGGTCATTGGGAAAGAAGTTCCACTCTAGGCAGCTCCAGTCAAGAACACAGGGTTCTCTCTATCCCCAGTGCCCAGCTGAGAGGTGCAGCATCTCCCTGGGAGTGGCAGGCCACCAGCATGTCTCATCTCGCTCACCTCTGTGTTGAGGTGTATTCCAGGTAAGAGTAACTGAGAAGCCTGGGGCCTTTTTCCTCAACCAATTTCCAACTCAAGGTGGAATGTCTACCCTAGACATGGAAACCAGATGATACTGAGACCTTGACTCTCTCACTTATAGAGTGGAGATTGCATTCTAGGAGAGGCTAGTTTAGAAGACCAAAGGCTACTGCTCCAACCCAGCATCCTTATAAAGCAGGGGTATCACTCCAAGAAACCAGTTTCAGAGCAGTGGTACAGATGTTTCACACAAAGACAGAGGAAGTCCATAAAAATTCTGATGCTCTCCTCAAGGGAACTGGCTTTATTTGCACAGAGTGTAGAGAAACTCAAGCACATCGGTGCTCTCAAAACAATGGAGATCTTGGTGATAAAAAATTAAGTCTGGTAGTGCTTTGAGAAAAGCTAACTAAAAATTAGACCAACTAGAAGTTTGTAGAGAGAAGCAAAGAGCTAATTGACAAAAACCCTCCTGAGATCAGAACAAACTTCAGAGACTAGCCTCAAATACTACTCTGGTCACAAAAAACTTGGCCTCTCTGTACACTGATGCCAAATCCAATCTGAGAGACAATTTTGGGTGAACTAGAGAAGGATAACTTTATTACTTTGCCAGGCAAAGGAGGACACACCAAGCTTCTGCTTTGAAAAACTATGTGTCCCAACCTGAGAGGATTTGATGAAGGGTTTTATAACAGTGATTCAGAAGTGGGATCTCTGACAAGATTAGTCTGTGTGTAGGGCCTGCACTCCTTTAATCCCGTCTCAAGTGGTCAGGTCTCCTAATCTTGAAGAGTTTCTGTGGTCCCTTTAATCTGGCTTCAGGTGGTTTCTTGGCTTCTCCTCCCTTGATTAGCAACTGTACAAATTTGCCCTTTGGAACTCAGAGAAGGTCATGAAGGCTGGAGTCTTGCCTACAAGAAATGAGAGACAGGAAGTCCTCCTTGCCTCGGAACCCCACAGAGCCTTACTCTGTTTCACTCCTGCAAAGGGACTTCATTTCTTTGGATCAGACTGTAGAAGCTTCCAGAAAGTGACACCAGATCTTGTACAAAGGATCAGGAATCAGATCCACATCAGATCTCTTAATAGCAATATTAGAAGCGGGAAGTCCTCAAAGCAATGCCTTAAAGATGCTGAAGGAAAATTATTTTCAACTGAGAATTATATACCCTTCCAAGTTATCAATACAGTGTGAGAAGAGAATGTAGATATTTTCAGATAGACAAGGTTTGAAAAATTTTATCTCACATGCAAATTTCCTCAGGAAGCTACCAGAGGATGTGCTCCAGCCCACAGAAGGGCATAAACCAAGAAAGAAGAAATAAGGACCCACTACTGAGAATATGGAGGCAAGAAGAATGGAATTTTCTCCAAGGGTCCCAAGTAATCCAGAGAGGATGTTTGTGTGGCTTTCCTTCCCTACCTCGCCCAACTCCCACACTGGCCTTTGTAAATAAATGGTGTGGTCTCTGTTGTGAAGAAAAAAAGAAGAAATAGAATGCAGGAAAAACAGATCATTAAGGGAAGAAGCACAGGATGATAGCTGTGGGGCTGATCTAGAGCTATTAGTTCAGATGGAGGCAGGAGAACCAGGGGCTCCAGGAGGGGTGTCTCAGAGTTAAAAAAAAAAATAAGGAATTATAGTGAAAATGTGTAGCGAGAATCATTTTATGGGACTTTTGCAGGGTGTGGGATGTGTCAAAAGAAAAAGAAATGAAAAAATGAGTCAACAATTCTGAAGAAGAAAAGAAGTTTATGAAGCAAGGACAGGTATTTATGAAGAAAGGAAAGGACAGCATATTACTTGGCTTAGCAGTGAGCACCGTTTACTGATTGTGACTGTAACCAAGAAATGTGGTGTTATGACATCAAAAGGAGAGGAAAGAGTGTAAGTGAATCTCATCTGTCATGAGAGGAATGCCAAGAGACAGTATCTAAATTGGACTTCTCTGAGATAGAAATAATAGCAATAAATGCTTAATTTTGTTGTTGTTTTTCAGTTGCTCAGTCGTGTCTGACTTTCTGCGACCCCATGGACTGTTGCATTTCAGGTTTTCCCTGTCCTTCACCATCTCCCGGAGCCTGCTCAAACTCATGTCCTGGAGTCAGTGATGCCATCCAACCATCTCGTCCTTTGTCATCTCCTTCTCCTCCTGCCTTCAGTCTTTCCCAGCATCAGAGTCTTTTCCAATGAGTCAGTTTTTTGCATCAGGTGGCCAAAGTATTGGAGGTTCAGCCTCAGCATCAGTCCCTCCAGTGGATATTCAGGATTGATTTCCTTTAGGATTGACTGGTTTCATCTCCTTGCAGAGATTTTTGTCTTCTTCTGATTTTTGTCTCCTAAATAACTGAGTGAGTTGAAATAGTCACTTCGAAAGAGCAGGATGGAGTGACATAGGAGAGTGCTGTCTTTGTTCTAACACTTTAGCACAGTTTGACTCTGCAAACATTTTTTGCACATGAGTTTGGGAAGATAAAAATTAACTGAAAGACAGATGAAAAGAAACCATAACAGTAAGGGCCTTCCCTTTTGAGATGCTCCCATCCTCTGAATTCTCCTTTTAAAACAGCAATTGGGGAACTTCCCTGGTGGTCCAGTGGTTAAGAATCTGCCTTCCAATGCAGGGAACTTGGTTCAATCCCCAGTCGGGGAAGTAAGCTCATGCATCACAACTACGGAGCCCTCGTGCTGGAGAGCCTGCATGCTGCAAGGAAAGATCCCACATGCCACAGCTGCAACTAAGGCCTGATACAGCAAAAAAAAAAAAAAAAGATTAATAATCTATGCAAAGAAAAAACCTGAGCAAACAACCCCACCCATCTTTTCAGCATCTCATAAAGTGCATCCTCACCCTGCAAGGCAGGTATTGATAAGGGCTCTTGTGAGGGTCAAAAGGGATGGTGTTTCATAAAGCATGAAGTTGGCCTATGGTTTAGATTGTGGTTATCAGGCAGAACAGAAATAAATATCCCCATGTTGTACACAGGAAAACAGAGACCCTCCCCTCCACCCCAAACTTCCCACAACTTACCTGGCTCTGAGCCCCACCTGGAGGGAGATTAATGTGAGCGCCCTTGATGTCATCAAGGCTCGGTTCTCATTCTGACGGCACTCTGAGCACTGGCCTTGGTTGTAGACTGATCCCTGGTGCTGGTTGCAGACTGAGCCCCCATCGCTGGCCACTAACTCCCTTAGTAACGTTCACAACCAAACCTAAGTTGGGCTTGGCCGAGAAGAATGGATGGCTGGGTTCCACTCCTCTCCAGTGCTGTCTAAGGGGCAGAGTTGGTGCAGCTGTGGCCTGGCTAAACTCTCTGGTATGGTTTCCCTTCATCCTGGACTAGATTCAAAGCCACCGCCTGTGCCCAGTACATTTCTGTCCCCTCCCACTGGTCCTCCTTGTGGGGGATGGTGGGGCCCATGGTACACTCTGAGCAGAGATTGTCTGTGATGAGTCATCCTTGCTCACAACAAGGGAGTCTGGCATGAACAGCACTTTTTCTGACTTCTCTGCTGCAAGGGAATAATGTCTCAAATCCATGTGTTCAAGTACAGCCTTGAACTGGCTGTTTCCCACCCTGGACTCTTCAATCCAATCCATTACCAGGGAAGCATTTCTCCAACATGATTTCCAGGAGTTCCCAGAACACTGGTTTGTTGTAGCTGCTTCTCTACACGTAGTGACCAGCACCTCCTCTGAGCATCCTCTATGGTCAGATGGGAAGCAAGGCTGACTTCAAACCCTCTCATCTCTTATCAGTCCCAGGAGAGGTGAAAGGTCAGGAAAGGGGCAGTGGCAGATGCTGGGCATGGGAAAGTTGGAGGGTGGGTGGGGAGACAAAGGGGATGGGTGGAGGGCAGGCACAGGATCATGGTTTTGATAAACTTGATTTACTACTGGGTCACAAATGTCAGGGCAGTCAGGAAGCTGAAAGACTTCCTCTCCTGCCCCTGTGTCAGACAGATGGAAAAATGAGGTCCCTGGCAGAGGAATGTTCCCAAGATCCCACAATGACTTGGGATCAGATTAGGGCCCCAAAGGGTGGATTCTTTATGCTGAGGATCAGCCTTGGGCAGATGGCACAGATTCCACAGCCCCTGAAGCCAGAATAGGACTCTTGAAGAAGGCCCTGGGGAGACAGAGGAAAGTCTCCAGGGAAGAAAGACCTTCCTGATGATCTGAATTGTCAGCTCTGGGACCTCTGGTTGGAGGGGACATAGGGTCACAGTTTCACATCACCAGATGCATGGCAAGATGCAAGCTGGACCATACTGTGGGAATGTGCCCACAGTGAGGGGAGCTTGCTTGCTCTCTTGGCCATGTTTCTCTTTGTGGGATTGAAACCAAGTTGTGTTCCTCACAATCCTAGGGTTCCTTTGCTTGACCTAAAGGTCTGCTGTCCTTTCTGAGCCCTCAAGATGCAGAACAGCTCCCAAGCAGCCCCAGAGCTCTGCAGCTGCCTCTGGCTGGCCACCAGGCCCTGGAGACATAAGAGGCACCTGGACCCACAGTTAGAGTGTGTATTTGAGGAAGACAGTTGGGAGAGGGCCCCCTCGGGGGGTGTTTCTTCCAGGAACAGATTAGGTCAGAGGAAATCACGGGAGGTAGGTGTCCCTCCAAACCAAGGGTCTGCGCTGCCGCTTTCAGGTGGTGAGAGGCGCTTAGGCTCTTGCCTCAGTGCTCTTAGCCCGGGCCTCCCGGATCCTGCCTGCCTGCGCACCGAAGCCTGTTTCGGGGCCTCTCCTGGCTGCATCCCCCTGGGGCTGGCCTTCCTGCACTTTCATTGCTTACTTGTCTCTCTGCCACTGGGCTGGCAGCTCTTTGAAAGCCAAGTATTGCAGGGTGGGTTCTCCGGGAAGCAGACTGGCTCAAAGTATAGCATGCTGGATGCTCTTCAGGGAGCGCTCTGGAGATTGAGTGTAGAAGGGAGGGGAAGAGGCAGCGAGGGGCAGAGGGAGAAGCTGAGCTGTTCTGCAGGCCCCACCCAGCCCGGGCTCCTCACTGGGACTTGGCGTGGAGCAGCCCCGCACAGTCCCACACTGAGCTGAAGTAGCTGGGCCTTTGCATCCCAGCTAGATCAGTCTTTGGATACAGATCACCCAGAGAAGGGCATGGCCCAGGGTAAAGCAAGTATCTGCAGCTGAAGCAATCCCTGGACGGGCTGATAGCTACAGTCCTTGTGCCCTGGGCCCCCGACCCCAAGTCCTTCCCTGAAGGGAAATGTGGGCATCACATCTCAGCGTCTACTGCCCTGTGTTCTTGTGGGCTTTTGAGGAATGCTAGCTGAAGGAATGAATAGATTAATTTGAAAGAAGCCCCTGAAACATTTGGCCTTATTCTCCCCATCTATGAAATGGATATATCTTTGACACTCATGCTATAAAAGGCAAAGCTCGTCATAAACCCCAAGCTCATCTCATGGAAGGCTGCAGCCTCCCTTCTCTTCTCTCTCCTTTGACACCCCAAGGTTGGGTCTAGGGCCCTGAGGGGTGGAGTGGGTAGTGGAGGGTAGGTGGGGTGCACTTGGCAGTTTGTGGTTGCTGTTTTAGGGGAAACCACAGCTGCCTCTGGTTCAGGGCGGTCAGTGAGGCCCAGGGAAGGGGAGGTTCATATGCAGGGCAGGCCTTGGGCACTGAGTCACCACCCAGAGGAAAACCACAGCTTCAAGAGCCCCAAGGCCCAAGGAAGGGTGGCAGATGAGCTGGGCGAGTGCCAGGTCTCAGGAGCAGGGATTTGGACAGCCTCCTTACTCCTAGGGCCAGCCCTGTTCCAGCTTGCAGGGCAGCACCTACCATATGCCATGATAAAGGCAGGCTGAGTCACACATTTCTGTGAAACAGGACACACCAAGAACAGAGTGACCCTGAAAAAGAACCATTTATCTCTAGTCTCCAGCTCCCCACTCTCTGGGGGAATGGGGGCAATTCTTGAATTCAAGAAAATTCTTCTAAGATATCTGAAGATTCAAAGACTTCAACTTTGCTTATATATAAATTTACCATCATCTTTAGGCTTCCCAAGTGGTTCAGTGGTTAAGAATCTGCCTGACAATTCAGGAGCCACAGGAGACTTGGGTTTGATCCCCGGGTTGGGAAGATCTCCTGGAAAAGGAAATGGCAACCCACTCCAACGTTCTTGCCTGGAAAATCCCATGGACAGAGGAACCTGACATGACTGAGCAACTGAGCTCACATGTACCATCATCACTGTGGTCTAGAGAGGCTGCTTCACACTGCATTCATGTACTGTTACCTCGGTAACTGTGAAATGTCTGGTTTTTTCTCTTTCTTCTTTGTAGGAAAATGAAATATTCTGAACTCTCATCTTGTGTGATGAAAGCTAAAACAAACAAATGAACAAAGATAATATGTCCAGACCGACTTGTTTATACCTTCTTGAAAGATACCTAATGCTTCAGACAGAGCAATAAGAAAACTGAAAGATGGTAGAATAGCAATGATTCATATCACCATTGAATTGCCTTCCAGGCAATTCCATCATTCTCTTGTTTTCTTATTACTTTAGTCTGTTTTTAAAAAGCATGATTGAGAATATAATGAGTGATGATGAAAAATATTTCCTAAGAGGATGAAATAGCAAAATGTTTTAAGACCTAGGATATATTTTGAATTTACAAAGGATCCAATGGATCAATACAGTAATTGATATATTTTGGACTTATAAAAAATCCAGTGGATCGTTTTGGTAATTGTAAGGGAGAACAAGCTTTATTCTATTAAAAAATAATTGAAATCTCTCTTTGGTTTTTGGAAGACCCCTGTAAAAGGATAAAAGTCATAAAATAATCAATTCTTATTAATAGTTAAAGCTGCTCAGAAAAGGAGCTTAAAAATTAAAATTCAGTCTGAATGACCTTGGTGGTATACTAAGAGTTAAAATAAAATTCCCCAAGGGGGATTTAGCTGAAGGTCCACTTTTACCTATACCCAAATAGGGAGGAATAAGCAGAGACTGTGAATTTGACATAAAGTGAGAC